TCAGGAGGACCGTCATTCCACTCAGGACGTCACTGGTGTCCCCTGGCCCACAGGCTGCGTTCCCTGTGCTGCTCAGCTACAGCCAATTTCCTGACGCTTTCCGCTAGTCTTTACAAGCAAAGCAGGCCACCCGCATATGTTTGCAACGTGAATGAATGATTACGAAAGCGGTTAAGGCAGCCTGACAGTTACAGTATTTTCCCAAAAATGCACTCCTATGCATTTGCACTGGTCCAGCTTATTAGTACTTACTTTCAGTGAGGCTGCTTTTAGGATGAGGAAATACAAAAAGGGTGGGAGATGGTCTATGACGCCATGAAGCACAATGGTTTTTCTTTGTGCTTCCACATCCCATCAGGGGTTACAAAGGCAAGGAGAGGGCTGTCTTAAGGAATGGCGTAGCCTTAGCGCACTGGACGTCTACAGGAAGAAAAATCAAGAATGAAAAAAGCTGTAAACAGACATTCTAGATGCAACACTACTGTTGGCAATTATTTTGTGCCACCAGGAAACACTTGCTCTGACCAGGGACACATGTTTGTCAACCATAGTTTCAGTCCTCCCATCCTTAACAGATGATTCTTAACCCCAAAACACACACATGCTCATTGTGCCAAGTATCACTGGGAAAACAAAAAACAAATCCCAAAGCCCAAACTCTGACTGCAGAACTGAACTGAACCAACTAGTAATTTCCCTGTAAGTTACTAGACACCTCAAAGAGCACTTCCAACCTTTGGGATAAAATATTCTTTCCTGTGGCTTAAACTGTACCTGGTCGTTAGGGAATGTTTACTAGTCACAGAAACATAATCACTTAAAGATGCCTCGGTAGTGCCATAAGTTACTGATTTTTTCCCCGTATTTAATTCTATCTGGGACAAGGTCTAAACTCCACAGGCAGACAGTTAACAGACTAAAATGTCATGTCTGAGATCCCAGGGAAAATTCAAGGGGCTTGTAGAGATTTTTTTTAAAGAGACTAGCCATAGTCCTGGAAGGACTCAAGGATAAAAATTACTATTCACCACTGGGAAAATAAAACCAGTTCTATTAACGTTTAACTGATTATAGCAACAACGACAAAAAGCATGCTGTTCAAACTCTTTGCCTAATCAAGTTATAATTCTAAGACCATTTCACAGATTCAAAGAGATTTCAAACGAGATTTACCTACTAAAGAAAGATGCAAGTTTCAAATGAGACAAACATTCAGCTCCTGATACTGCCAATTCCCGCACCTAGTCCATCTTTTTCAGAAATAAAAGCAGTAGATGAAGGAGGGCTAGCACAGGTGAACCACCGGCCAGACGTGCATGTGCTGTTGGAAGCAGAGTAGTGTGGGCAGTCGTCCAGCAGTCACCACCGCCGAGGAGGGGAGCACCGCTCTGGCTTCCAGGCTTCCGTACAGTTCAACGGGGAAACTGAGCAATGCGGTGTGCACAGGACAGAATGCAATGGGCAAGTGGCTCAGTTACCTTACGCACTACGGTAACGTCCACACAGCTGAATATGTACGTCTTAAATATGGTGAGGGTCTAAACTAGCCACCCTAATGTGAATGGTCTCCAGACTTGCCAGTCACCTGCTAATGCTCAAATTAGCAGCAAAATAAAGTTAATCCCTGGAAACATTTCCCAAGAGGTATTCATGACAATAATAGTAATAAAAATAATAATAATGAAGAAGAAAAGGTGGCGTAGAATTCATAGCTTCATACCCAGCAATACTGAAAAGGAAAGTTAGAAATGGAACAGCAAGAACATGGAAGAGCCTATGACTGAAAACAAAACAAAACACTAACGTTTGAAAGCATGTACGTAGCATGCTGTTTCATGACAAAGTGACAAATGCTATTCAAGGAGAGCCAAGACCATATTCTCCTGACACTGAAAAAAAAAGGGGGGGTGGAGGTGGGGAAATGGACATATTAACTATTGAGCAGGAAAGCATTGCCGGGATCTTGTTGAAGTGTGAGATTTTGGTGAGGTTCACATTTTTCCTAAACAAGAAATGCAATTTGCACTGACGGCTGCCGGATGGCACACACTCCACTCTCACTGGTGAGTCCTGGGTAAGAGATGACGCCTTCAGCACAAAGAAGAAATCAATGAGTTACGAGAAGCAGTCCTAACCAAGACCGACGGGCAGACACAGAAGTGCACGTGTGGTACTTTGCCACGCATTGTGTCAATGTGCCGTCACTGATGTGGCAGGAGGCAACGCCTTTTTTCCCCGAGTTACAGACAAGGACAATGAGCACTCAAACACTGGCAGCATGGAGCTTTCCACACTTAACACACAAAAAGCACCACCGGAGAGGGACAAAGGGCAGACACACACAGGGCTCAGAATCCACTTTTCCCAGGAATCTTTCAAAGGTGTTAACTGCGCTACTACATTTCAAAATGCCAATGGCCTCCGTGATCAAATTTAGAAGGGAAAAATTTAACTGCTAGTGACCGGCTTTCTGGCTATTCAATCTGCCACCTCCCAGGGTGTATCCTAAGAGTCAAGGCAGCCATGGCACACACATCTTTGCAAGATATGAAGGGAGTGAGAGACTTCATTCCCGCCTCTACCCACTTCTATCTGTGGCAGTAGGAGAAATGACAGTCACCCACCTATCACTCTCCTCTGTAATCTATTCTCTGACGTGCATCCGTCCTCCACTAGCGGAGAAAATACCTGAGAAACATTAGTGTTAAAATATTGCCCTTTACAAAGACGGGTAGATGGGGCGAAAGTGCAGAAAGCAACCGTTTCCCTCGGTTTGTTTCACTGTTAGCGTCACAGTTTTAGGGCTCCTGGCACCACACGATAATGAGCAGCGAAGACATATATTGCTCAGATGAAACCCAAGTCAGATAACTCCTCCTTCTGCAGAGCACGCCGAGGACAGTGCAACTGGTTCACAGGTTTCAAAACCCTAGTGTGCAACAAGTCATTCCATTCTCTAGAGAGGAGTATGTCCAACTGCTAAAGGGAAGTCCAAGGTGTCGTCTGTAATTATCCCAGTGAGCTTGGTAATGCTTTGCCTACAGCTGTCATTTGGTTCACTGGTAAAAGAAGGCGCCACTTTCAACAACTGACAACTGAATCCTCCTCCCATGTACACACACACACGTGCACCCATGCGCGCACGCACAGACACACACGTGCACACACACACACACACACACACACAACCCGGCACATGACCTAAAAAATACAAAAGCATAGAGGGCTTTGGTGGGAGGGGAGGGATTTTAAATAAATAAACATTTTACAGATGAAACACTTGGACTGCGGAAATTCACTGAGGTTTCTGAGAAGGCCGTGCAGAGGTTTGCATGCCAGAAGGTAACTTTTTGGAGGATTTCTCAGCAGACTGCCTGCCTCCAGGAGATGAGGGAGCTCCAGAATCTAGCTGGGAAGACTTGGATCTGCGAGTGGACAGCAGCGAATGTCTTGCAGAAGCAGGGTCCTTGGAAGTAAGCTGCTCTTTTCCAGCTGCATCTGTACTGGGCTGCTGGGACCCCAGAGGCTGGCAGCCCCTCTCCAGCGCCTCATCCACTGCGCTCTTACAAGCCGACTTCACAGAACTCCCACCAGCCTTCCTGGAAAGCAGAGCTGTCTTGCCAAGATCAGCAGACCTTCGGGTTTCCTTCTGTCTCAAGGCTGACTTGAAGAAGGACAGTCCCTTGTCCTCAGACTTGCTGTCTCTCTTCAGACCAGACTTCATGCTCATGCTGGGGGACCGGAGGCTGGCCATGGAGGAGCTCCTCACATGCTTGCTGTCCCCTCTGCCCTCCCCAACTCTGGCCTGGCCCCCCCAAGGGGAGCTGGGTTTGGAGGTGGAGGTGACGCTGGCCCTGTCAGAACCCAGGCTTTGTCGGGAGCCCTCTCGAGTCAAGCTTCTGTCTGAAGTCCTGCTCTTCCCAGGAGGGAAGGGCCCCCTTGTGGCAGGGCCTGAGGCTTTTCTGGCAGATGTGGAAGCAGTGTGAGTGAGGGAAGAGGCCACCTTTTGCTTCTGTGGTGAAGAAGACGGCCCAGTGTCCTGGGGTTTCGGGGATGACTCTTTTTTGGGTTGGGCAGGGGCAGGGGACGAATGACGTCCACTGGCCCTGGAAGAAGAATCTGCTTTGCTCCGGGAGCGGGAGGGCTTTAAAGAAACTTTTACAGGGACAGGAGAAGAGGGAGATGGACTTGAGAGGGAGGATTCCTGGCTGGCCAGGACGGGCCTCCCCTTCCGCGAGCTTCTGTCTGACTCCGAGGTGCCTTTGGAAATGGGGGATCTCTTGGGTGTGCTCTCTGGCTTCTTTGAGAGTGAGCCGGGGTGGCTTGGGGGTTTCACCTCTTTGACTGGAGAGCTGTCCACAGAATCACTCTGATCCACATAAGCAATCTGGTTATTGTTATCAAATGGATCAGAAACGGGGGGTAAGCGGTCCCCTTGTGCTGAGTTTTTGCTCTGTGCATCTACAAGACTGGAGTTCAATTTGCGCATGTCTGCTACTTCTCTGAACACACCTTCCATGACAGCCAGAGGGGCCCGACCCACAGCCCTGTGCTCACGCTGACTGTGACTATCACTTGCTTCCTGGAAACTGCTGGAAAGGTTTCTCAAGCTACCAAAGCAAGAGATGGAGACCTTGTCATCCTCCCCTATCTTCTCCAGGGTGGAGGCAGAGGTGTGCATCGGAGAGTCCCCTGAGAATCGGGACGGGGAGCTGGAGCGCAGCTGCAGCTTCGCAGACAGGGACCAAGAGGGTCTCATGCAATTTTCGTTGACAGCCAAGGGGCTGGTGACAGAGGATCGGGACGACAGGCTTTGACGCTGGACACTTCTCACAAATGGTCGAGTTGAGAATCCTCCTGAACAGAGCACAGAGAATCCCGTTAATCCACACTGAGAGAAATGGTCTAATAAAGTACTGGGGACAGGAGGGAAGCAAGCCGTGGAAGGGCAGGAGCAGGGGATTCAGATCAGCGTGTCTAGGGCTCAGGTGCAGCTCTGTCATGGACTAGCAGAGGGACTTGAATTCTTCTGAGCCTCAGTCCCTCACCTTTAAGACAGGGACAGTATAACTCAGGGGTCAGCAAACCAGCCCCTTCACCTTCTTGCTCTCTATCAGCCATCAGCAAACTTTGCCTGTAAAAAGCCAGATGGTAAATACTTTAGGCTTTGCAGGGCAATCTTCCATTGTATATGGAAGCAGCCACAGATGACATGTCAACACATGGGCATGGCTGGGTTCCAATAAAACTTTATTAACAAAAGAGCAGGCCAGATTTAGGCTGGGGCTACAGTTTGCTGACCCCTGGTCTAATACACAGAACTACTGTAGGAATTCAAAAAACAAAACAAAACAAAAACACCAACTTCAAAGTCCTGTGCCCCATGGAGAGCCTGGCACTCCACAAATGTTCAGGAATTGTGAACTACTGATCCAATTCTTCATCTCAGAGACACGTGGGGCTCCCAGAAGTGAAGTGCCTTGCCTAAAATTACATAAATATTCACAGGCAGAGCTAAGAGCTGCACTCGCAACCCTCCGACCCACACTCTTCAGCACATGCAGGTTGGCCTGTCACTTGAAGAGTGGATCAGAGGGTAGAGCTAAAGAGACATGGACACAGTACACGCCCATCCTGAGAGACCTATCCTTCCAAAGAATGTTCATAATTAGAATACACTCCTATTCTGAGTGATGTAATGCTTCCAAAGAAAGTATTCTAAATTAAATTCTCTATACACTTGGTACTCTAAGTGTGGTATTTGTAAAACTCTGTCTGCGTAAGATCCTAAGAGACAGGACCTCTTCTGTGGGCGCCCCAGGACACGATGATGCATAAAATGACATGGATTTCATCAACTACATCGTCTAAAAATACACTGGGGGCAAACTACAGCTTGGGTTTATTGACAGTGATTCCAGGTTTACAGGTTGCCTTGAAAACAAGCAGAGAGTTCCTCGGACCTCATGGCACGTCAGGAGCTGGAGGGGAGCTCGGCAACTACGGACCGACATTCTGTCTCACAAACAAAGCCGCAGCAGCCGGAAGTGGGGGCAGCGCCGGCATGGGGCTGCAGGCCTCCAGTCTGGCATGCCTCCTGCAGCCCCAGCAATGCTCCCTCCGTTTCATTTCTCAGAATGACCCGCCATCACTAGAGCAGATGCCAGCGAGGGCAGGGCCGGCTGCAGGACGAGACTCGTCGGGAGATGAGTCACCATCTGCATTACTGAAGCTAAGCTCAGGCTCCCAGCTCGCTCGCAGCGCTGGCTGCCTGGTCCATCCCACGCCTCCTGGGGCCTTGGCGAGAACCAAGCTCCGCCATGCCCATGAATGTCACTCAAAAGGGAAGTGAAGGTAAAAACTAGAGGCTGATTTTGATGGGATGCTCTCAGTTTTTATACTGTGCCATCTTCAGAAGTCCGAACAACTCTGTGTAGAGGCAATAGTTTTTGTTCTTGATGCTCCACCCTAAAAAGCACACACATGTTCCTCAAAGGAGAACAGTGTGGCAGAAGGTGACAACAGCCCGGGCTAGAGTCAGAGCCTCGGGGCAGGTGGGGCACGGTGACCTCTCACCAGGTGGCCCTGGGTGATCGCTTAACCTCACTGAGCCCCTCTGAGCGATTCTGCACATTTCTGAAAGCATTGTGAAAAACACACATAAAGCTCTAGCTTTCATACTGAAGCTTAAAAGTAGAAAATAATGAAGTGGAAGGAAAAAGTCCTACGTCAAAGAAGAAAAGAAAAGTGACCCTGTTTATCTAACATGTTACTCAGCAGGAGCCCCCAGCTAGGCAGCCCACTCTCTGGAACCCTGTGAGTACTCTAGAACCCTACTGAGGACCTAGTTCCTAAACATTTATGTGGAACTCTGTGCTGGATCCATGAGTTGCCATGGCGGCATTCTGTCACCAAAACCCACCATCGTCTTCGCTCCTTTCCCCGGTCATCTCCACCGACTCAGAGAGTGAGGCCAGGGAGGTGCGTCTGGAGGAAGCTGCCGAGGTCACGCTGGCTTGCTTGCTCCCTGGGAGCCGGCTCACCCAGTGTTCGCACAGGGAAGAACTTGTGGAGCCTGCAGAAGGGAGTGAGGGTTGGAGTCAGTGCGGGACCTGTGGCCAGCCTGAACTCCTCACGAGCACACTGCTCCCTGAGCTGGGGGGTGAACGAGGGTCCCATCACCGAGGTCAGCATTGAGCCCCAGACTCCACGCCTGCTTCAGTATCACCAGGTAGATGAAAAAGGAGAGTGGACACATGACAGGTGTCAAGACAAAATGCAAGTCTAGGAATGAATGCTTCATAAGGCAAAGTCTGAGACTTAGAAGCCAGCAGCAGAAAGTAATACAGACATTCATTCAACAAACGTTTATCAAGCGCCTCAGTGCCAGGCACTGTGCTGAGCACTTGCTGTCGTGTGTCTGACTGACACGAAGGGAAAATGACAGAGTATACAGTTAGTCACATTCCTCACCTCACTGTTCTGTGGAAATTTTTAACCATTTTCACAATATTCATACACAATATTCACACAGAGTACTCTGTACCCTGTCTGTCCAGGCCTAGTCTTAGCCATAATAGGGCCACAGCGACTGCCCTTGAAATCGAGTCCCTGAAGCATGATCACCTCAAGCAGACCTCAAGGGGGTGAGCTTTCCAAGCATCTCAGACCCTGCAGAGCACTGGGCCCCCCACTCTCTGTTAAGTGAGTGAGCCACTACAGAGGGATGGGTGTACTGGCTGGGGCTTGACTCCTGGCAGCAGGGCTGCTCCGCGGGAGCAATGCTTTCTTTCAGCTGCTTCACATGTACCCTCACAAACTTGAAGGAGAGCAGGCGTTAACAGCTCCTAACCTGACCACACACGCCCTTGTTGCAGGCCCCTGGCAGTTTCTTTCTTTCTTTTTTTTTTATTAGGATTTGGGTGAAGATTTACAGAGTAAATTCACTTTTCATACAGCAGTTCACATATACTTTGTCTCATGTCATTGACCTAAATTTACAATGCAGCAGCTCCCCTCCCACTTCCTCCCCATAGTTACCTCCTCCCAGTGTCCATCCCTTCATACTCTTCTGCACCCTGAGCTATCTCCCTGTGCATAAGCAGCCCTTCCTTCTCCCATGATTGTTCTCTCCAGGGCGTGTGTCTACTTGAGGTAAATGTTTAACTCACATACCTGTACTTTGTTTGGCTGGAAACCACAGGTGTGGGTTCAATTCCAGACCTGAAGGGCAACTAGGGGCCATAGTCTCAGTGGTTCCACCATGCTCTATTGGACCAGCAAACCTGGTCCCCACATATTTTTTTTTTTTTTTTGCCTCCAAACGATTTTGAGTTTTGTACCACATTGTTCTCCCTCTTTATGTAGGATCTCCTACATCCCTTCCAAGTGGATGGCAGTGGTAGCTGGGCACCATCTAGTTCTTCTGGTCTCATAGTTGTATAGGTTGCAGATCGGATGGTGTACCAGTCGCTAGGACTGATTGTTTCCATTAATTTTGCTTTTCTTCTTTCTTCTTGACGAGGAGAGACCCATTGTTGCATCTAGATGGCAGCTTCCTAGCTTTTAAGGTCCCAGTCGCTACTCGCCAAAGTAGTAGATGGAACAATGTTTTGTATAGTATGTTATCCCTGGCAGTTTCTTAAATTCAGCTCTGCACTAGAAGCATGCGCCCCCAGGTTTGCAGTATCTATGGCTGCATTCTTTCCACGGATGTGGGAATGGGTTCCTGCATTTATTACACGACAGGCCACACCCCAGCAGGTAAAGCCAGGCCAACGTACTATCACTATAGCTCTCAATCATTCCCCTAACAGAACAGGCCAACCTTCTTACTGGGGGAAATAGCCACTTCTAATGATGCTTTACCCTTTACAAAACGTAGCATTCAACAAAGCCACGAGGTGGGTATCACTACTACCCTCATACTACAGATGATGAATATGATAAATATGTGGCTTAGGGCCCAGATTGGATGCACCCCAACAAACTCAGCCAAAGCCAAGTCTCAGTTCTTTGTCCAAATCCTTCATTCTCTCTACTTTCAGAAGATGGTGCCACAATCAGTCCTCCGTTTACTCCACTAGTACTCATCAAGCACTTCCTCTGTGCGAGGGTCTACCTCACGGGCGTGCTCTCATTTCCTTGCCTGCAAGAGCTTTGGTTTCCAGATTAAATGCAAATGTGAAAATTAACCTATCTAGATGACAGACTCATGAGACCTTGTGGAGAGGTCCCCTGGGCCGCTCATTACAATCTTCTGCCCAAGAATAAGAGTTGGCCTTACCTGCTACCGAGCTGTTGGCTGACCATGAGGGTATGGCTGTCCGTCTCTGGTAGAAAAGGATGTATGCCATCTGTGTGCACACGTCATCTTCAGAGAGCTGCTGGACATCACTGTCATCAAAGCAGTACCAGAGGCCATCCACAGAGTTCTTACAGTATGCTGCCAAAGAGAGCCCGCCATCAGAACCAGCGCAGGCGCACCACCCACTCTACTGACACATGTTCACATCATTAACTCGAGAACATTTTAAGGCTGCATGTATCAACACAGAAACAGGTAAAAAAAAAAAAAAAAGTCCAGAAACACTAAATTATTCCAAATAGGTAAAATTCTGTTTCAGCTTACAAAATTTAACTCTGAACGGTCCTCAATCAGGGACAATTATGCCCTCAAGTGACATGTGGCAACAAATGGGAGATATTTTGGGATGTCAGAACTTGGGGGAAGGAGGGCTAACGGCATCTAGTGGACAGAGGTGAGCGATACTGCCAACCACCCTACAATATATAAGACAGCCCCAGAACAAAGACGACCCAGCCAAAAGGTGAACGGTGCCAGGGTTGAGAAACCCAGACTGAAACATATTGTAACATTTCAGTGCTTACTGTTGTGGTTAAGTGCTGTCAAGGCACCTCCCACTCACAGTGACCCTGAGTGCAACAGAACAAAACTAAACACTGTCCAGTCCTGAGCCATCCGGACGATCCCTGCTATACTTGAGCCCATAGTTGCACCCACTGTGTCAATCCATCTCGTTGAGGGTCTTCCC